CATGGTTAGCGGCAATCAAACGGAACGATGTTTCACAATCTAAAGTAGGTAGCAAACCAAAGAGTTTGTAGTAAGCATTTTATCACAGGTGAACATCAAATCAGTGCTATTTTGCATCATATCTTTAATCATCATATGGTTTTATAATAAGAAAAAGTTAGAGAATGTGGATAATCCTGACTGGGCACCAAGTTCTTGCAAATATTAGCTCTGCAATATGAAAATGTCTTGTCGTATTGCACATAACAAATTTACCCCTCACGAATACACCTTAAAACACATTAAACTGTAAAATTCCTAACAAACAGCAGACAGAACACGACTACAAAATGAAGTTTGGCCCATGCTTGGCCGCCACGCCATCTTGAATGTCACGTGGTTTGGATTGCCTAATTGCCATGAGAAACGAAAATGAGTTATAGCAGGTTATTTAGTCTATTACAATCCAAATATCTGAATATACTTTATATCCATAGAGGAAATTATCTGAGATTAGGTATTTTATTTGCGTTGAAAGAAAACAAACAAAAACTAGCTCAAAATTATTTATTCAATATTTTTCAAGCAATTGGGACGTTTCCTACATTCTTAAAACACGTTTTAATATTTGCGAATCGATAGATTCCACTATGCGTTCAATAGAAATAATATTTTGCGTTCTTTACCTTTTCTTTGTTACCTTTTTAAGGCTGTTGAAAAGAGCATTATTTTTAAATGCCTGCAGTTTTACCGCCATCTCAATTGCCCAATCAGCAACAATCAACAAAGTTTTGTTACATGCGGTGCTTCCAGCTTTTTGAACCTAACATTCGCTATTCGAATATCACCTGTTGTATCGATGGATTTTGTCGATTTTTTGAAGTTTATTTGTTAATTGTTATTGATAAATGGAAATAAATATAAAAGCACTGATTTTACAAATATTTAAACTTCCAAAAGCAATAATTTTAGACAGAAATCATTTAAATAAGAAGTACCTGGACAAATGGGAAAGTTTTTCCGTAATTCCTCATAGGGCACAACCACAAATAATTTATTCGGTGTTTTATACGAGCTATTATTACAGCTTGCCAGAAAATATCTTTTTATTGCCATTATTTTCTACACCATACAGGGTGGTCCTTCGGGAATGACATCGATTGCTTATGGGAAAACTGTGAAAGGTAAAAATTTGAAAATTTGGCAACATAGCAATGTCGATGGGGGACATCTAGGTAAAATATTTTCAAGATGGCGGCATTTCCGGTCATACCGGAAGTTGATACCAACTCGGTTATTTTAAATAGAACACCCCATATATTAATGTATTTTTGGATTCTACATAAAATTCTGAGCAGATTTCATGTAATATACCCTATACCTAAGTTCAACTGTTTTGGAAATATTGACAGTTGAAAATTGACTTTTTGCAACTTTGACAAGCTGTAAAACCTAATTGGTTAATTTTAGAGGAAAACCGATTTCACATTCCTATCTTAGATTTTTATAAACTATCATTTGACATCAACTTTGAATTAAATCCATGATTAAAAATTTCAGTTAAATTTAATCTCCGTTTAAGTTCAAAGTTGGTGTCAAATGATAGTTTATCAAAATCTAAGATAGGAATGTGAAATCGGTTTTCCTCTAAAATTAACCAATTAGGTTTTACAGCTTGTCAAAGTTGCAAAAAGTCAATTTTCAACTGTCAATATTTCCAAAACAGTTGAACTTAGGTATAGGGTATATTACATGAAATCTGCTCAGAATTTTATGTAGAATCCAAAAATACATTAATATATGGGGTGTTCTATTTAAAATAACCGAGTTGGTATCAACTTCCGGTATGACCGGAAATGCCGCCATCTTGAAAATATTTTACCTAGATGTCCCCCATCGACATTGCTATGTTGCCAAATTTTCAAATTTTTACCTTTCACAGTTTTCCCATAAGCAATCGATGTCATTCCCGGAGGACCACCCGGTATAAATACGCAACGCAAATGACAAAAATAATCATTTTTTCAGGTTATGTGTCAAACTAAAATAACTTTAAGCCGATAACACTGGCAACACCGCCAGTCAATGTTGCTAAATAACTTATCTTTATTCAACATATATTTTCAAAAACCAATAATTACATGATTATTGCATCTATCTATATTATTGTTTCACATAAATAATCAATTTCATGCTTAGTCAATTTTTTTTAAATAATAATTATAATTTATATTAATTCAAAAAGCACAAACTGTCAAGATGCCAAAGCAGTTATACGCATGAGCAAACCCCTTTGTGACGTCAGAAACGATTCTGTTTGAATGAGGTGCTTTTTTCAAAAATTAAAAAAAAAAAAAAAAATAGGGAACGCAGAAAAAAAAGAACCGCACATTAAAAATAAGCAAGCAAAATACTATTCAATAGGCGAAAAAAAAATCGGAAGCATGCCCATTATTCTAGAGAAATTCAATACAAAGTAAAATTAATAAAAGCAGTTCCCAATAATGATTAGCGACTGATACAGACAATGCAGTGAATTAGGTTGGGCAACTTCGCAACGCAACGTACCAATTATAAGGTAAAATCTGAAGTTCTAATTGAGAAATCATTGTAGCACAAAAATGTCATTAATATAATATATTTTGTGAAAATGTAAATTAACAGGTATTAAAAAAAAAACAATCAAAGATTGCTATGGTTTTTTGAGCGTGTGTCTTAGCAATATTTTTCTTTAATTTTGTCAATGAACTTTAATATCAAAATGTCATGTCAAAAATCCTGACCAATAAAGAAACAATAATGCGACATACATTTTCGTAATCAAAGCGCTTTCTGATTTTTTTTTTTTTTTTTGAAGACCCGATATTGGTCTGAAGGTAAAACCTAACTATTCTGTGAAAAAGAAAATTTTTGCTAGACTGTATGGGCTATCTAGCTTAGCTATTCAAAAAACACCATAAAAAAGTATGTGAAACAATGTACCCATATACATTTTTCTACCGTTGCGCTGTTATACCGTAGGCTAAAGGTAAAGAAGCACGTAAGAAATTTATATTCATAGATGCATTAGAACTAGCGATGCTTTAGAAATAGAAGCTTGCAACAAAGCGACTAGTATATTTTATAAGCAAACACTACTCTGAAGTGAAAATCACTCATTAAAATATAGGTACATCGATGTTTCTCTTGAAAAGATTGTCTGAGAATCATTCTTAAAGATCATGCACAAGTTATGAGATCAAATTCAGAGAGTTCTTAAATTGATTTAGTAGCATCCTCGAGAATTTGGAGTAGTTACATCTTGAAATAAAGTCTTCTTGAGCTTGAGATTGACCTAGACAATGGAATCTCACCTCACAGTATTTTATAAAGATTATGTTAGAAGGTTTATTGGGTGGGTAGCAAATTAGGTTAATTACATAAAATGTAATTTCATATTCCCTCGGAAACCTGTTTTTTGGAAACAAGGAACTTAAGAATTTCCTTTCATTATTAAAATTACGTTAGCGCGGTAGTTCTTATTTGCATATGTATGCAATTGCCATTTCACGTAATTCCTTGAGATAACCGTCAAAATGTCAGTGGGTTTTGCTTAGCATCGTTCTGATGCAAATTTCACGGAATCTTGAGTTTATTTTTAATGAACGGTGAGGAAATGGGAGAATACCGTCCCATATTATGTAAATAGACCGCAAAACGGCAACACAGTTATAGCTTAATGCAACACTGCGGAAAATGGTATTGTTTTTGGATAAATAAGATCCAAGAGTATCCGTGCTAGGCATGTATGAAATTAACGCGCTTGAGAAAATAGCGTGTGACAAAATAGCGGGGTGATAGAAGAATCTACGTGTAATATGTAAGCCAAAATGGGATTAACAAGAATGTGTCCAAAATATGATCAGCTCTGACTGCGGTTGGGCATATTTCACTTATTTTACATGTTCCTCATTCAGTATTCTGATTTAGGGCTTATAGTGCGCTACCCTTAACGTCCCTTTTTCTCCAGAACTCTTCAAATCCTAAAAGAATTCAAGAAGTATAAAGATGTTTGATAATATAAATTCCAATATTTGTTTGCCAACAAGTAGTGCAAGCTTTTTAAGAGAAACGCTAGAGATGAGACAAAATTCATACAGAAACCAGCATTCATAATCTAGACAAAAACGAGAGCGGGTCCTTCTGCTCTAAGAGGTTTGGCAACCCTAGGGCTGCTAGGCCTTTCATTTAGATAGCAAAATCGATAGCTAAAGGGCAACCGTATACCTTAGTTTAAATTCAAAATAAGATTCAATTCTGGTTTTGAATTTAACTTTTAATTTTATTTAAAAAAAAATATATTTGTTGAAATGTTTGTATGTATAGGTAAAGGGACAGTTATCGTTCTAAGTACCTATTATTGGTAAATAAAAAGTAATAGCTAAGGAAACACTGCCTACTAAATATATTTAGGTATACATTTATTTCATTAAAAAAATATTTATATATAATTCTGAAAAATATATCAATACTTCTGCTGTTTAAAAAAAAAAAGAATAATGTAAGACAAAAAAAAATTATACTTTAAGTCCCGATTCATTCATCTTCAAATAAACTTGCTGGTAACTATCTGCAAGATAAATTTATCGTTCTAAAATTCTATTGGTTGCAGATTGCATACCTGACAGTTTATCAGAAGTTGAATAAACTGGCCCTAAGGGTTTTATTCATTTTATCAGAGGATAAAGACGAATGATACCTCCGCGCCCTTGCTTGTTCAGACGAAGAGATCTTGCGCTGAAAGTTTTTCATGGTCCTTTTATACGTCTCTATTCTCTGGTTCCATCTCCACATATAGTTCAGCTAGATGAATAAAAATTATTGTTGGCTCAGTCACTGTCGATTACACAGCTATAAAAAGGCACATAAATGGCTAAAACTGAATGTAAATATCAGCACTACACATACAATAGGAATTATTGGATTGGAATTTTCATATTAATTGATTTGGCAAATAATTTGTTTAATATGTGTGCTTACAGCTCAGAAAGCCAGTTTCTACCCTTTCCATTCCGGGGGCGGTGAAAAACTCCAGCAGGGACTCAACGGGAGGAGGGGGCAAAATGCAACAGGACGAGGGTGCTGGAGTAGCCTTGGTAGGTCATGTCGACTATCCAAGGTTCATGGAAGACCGCACCATAGGGACTGGTTACAAAGGACCATCTTCAGGTAGTCTTAAGCACAAGCCCAATGTAGGCTATCGATTAGGCAGGAGAAAAGCTCTTTTTGAAAAACGAAAGAGGATTAGTGATTATGCTTTAGTTATGGGTATGTTTGGAATTATTGTGATGGTTATGGAAAATGAACTTTCAAGTGCCGGCGTTTATCGTAAAGTAAGTAAAAATGGTAACAGGTTTCGTTAGTTGAGAGGAGGATAATAAAATATTTTGTAAATTATATTTTCTAAAACAGTTTCAGCCGCTAATAAAGTCTAAAACGTTGATATTCAAACACAAAATGTATTTTTATTTTATTATCCTTTCTTCACTAACGAAACCTATTATAAGAGGTTCGTATTTTCAGATTTCAGCTGTTGAAGCAGGTGAAAAAAAAAGTTTTAACAAAAGCAACTTTGCAATGTACTCTATCGTTAATAGGCTATTTTTAGACAATACCCATTTGCCTGTTTGACTTCCTATCTGGTCTTTCTCTCTGAAATCTACAGCCTACTATCTTTTAATTGATAATTTGATTTTATCCCAATTTTACCAAAATAATTAACTCTACCTATTTGCCTTCAGTCGTATTTTCGAATGAAGTTTTGTTTCCTTACTTGATTCGTACCATTCTCCTATAAGGTAGTGAGGCCGATTTATCGATATGTCACCAAAATTTTTTTCTAGCTGAGTAAGATGCGAAAAGTAACCTTATGTAATATCTAAAAGTTCCATGATTGAGTAAATTGTGGCAAAGTTGCGCATTGCAGTACTTGATAAAATACCTTTTTCTTGAATATCAATTATAAACTACTTACTTTACTATTACCTCCTCAGACATTTGGAGAAAACGATTTTTTTTAAAGATCGTTCTTGTTGTCTCCTCGGCTAATGGGGTAGTATACTATGTATAAAAATAAGGGAAAAAAAACTGATCCACATTATACTTCAGGTTAAATGGTGATGCTATAGTGGTATACTAAGATATATATACAGATATACACACTTGACGACCATACAGGTTGTCGTTGAACTGTCGAATAATTCCAATTTAAATTGGCATTGAATGTACACATACCCTTACGGTCGTCAAGTTTGTTATGCCCACAGCGCCATATTGAATATTATTAAATTGGCAGAACGTCAAATCGCCTAAAGTCATAGCACATTGTTTACGTTGTTATACAAATAACGATTCATAACCTCAACGTCTAAATTTGTTCGTTCTCGTCGGCCGATGTCGGTGCAGATCGTGCGTTCTCGAAGCCGTGCTGTGTTACCAGATTGGAAAAACTAAATACGTCATAAACTTTTATTTTCACACAATGGCGAGGCTGAGGGGAAATTTAAAAAAAAAATAATAATAATCAAAGTATTGCGGCTTTTACAAAGCAACTGATTACACTTAATAGTACGATGTATTGATTAAATCACTTGTAGGTAGGTATACTACCCCATTTGAAGATATATATTTTATATAAATTACACTTTATCTTTGCCACTCTTTCTCCTACAAAATGGAGTTATCAAATTTGAAATCCGTTATTTGCAACAATGTTAACAACCCTAGACGTTTACGACATCTAAATGCCTTCAGAGTCCAAATTGGTCCACCCTGTACACAGGGTGTTTCAGAAATAGTGTTACAAACTTTAAGGACTGATATAACGGATAGAACTCAACAAAATAAGAAAAAGAGTTCCTAGAAATTCAAGAAAATAAAATGTTTTTTGGTATTTTATTTCTCAATTTCTAAGATACCTAAATACCTCAAATTTCGTACAGAGCGTTTATCCTTAGTTCTTTTTCAAAAATGATCACAGTCTTTACAATAAATCAAGGGATTGGTCTTTTTTGGGGTGTGACACCACACAAAAACACCTTTAATTTTTTATCTGTACATTTACAATTTATTTTTTTTGAGCCACTAGCTTCTCCGTTTCATTGCAAAGGTTTTTGGTATCTTGCAATTTTTTCGTATCTCGAACAGTTTTGGAGGTGTTTTCCAAAAAAACAAAACATCCCTTTATTTATCGTGGAGAATATTGCCATTTTTGAAAAAGAACAGAACATATACTTTCTGTACGAAACTTCTGAGGAAATTTCAGCTATTTATCTTAAAAATGTAGAAATACAATACAAAAAATTTTTTTTTTTTTTTAATCTCTATCACTAATACCGCGGAAGCGAAACGTTTCTGTACCACGGAAACGAAACGTTTCCGGACCAATATTTATGGGAAATTTTTTTCTTATTTTGATGAGTTATGTCCACCCTTAAAGTTTGTAACACTATTTCTGAAACACCCTGTATATCGAGGCTGAAGTTCCTATCAACATGGCTTGACACACACCAGAACCTTTCTCCGTGATTTGCCGAACTAACTTTAAAGTTATATTTAGTTGTCTCCTGTAACCTCGGACTATAGGCAAACTCACTTAACTAATTACAATGCCATCCGCAAAGTCTGCGCAGTAGGAAGCTTTAACTTTAATTAGTCTTCGTATGTTCATATCCTAAATTGCTGCTCTTACAAAGATTATATTTGTTTTAAATTTGGGATGCGGTCAGTGATTTGGATATCAGACAGAATAAATACCAGTTTAATGAAAAAAATATTTACCGAGTTAATAGGCGAACTTAATCTTCAGGCTTCACCAGATAATTTGCTATGTTTACCTACCGTAAGCTTCAAGCGTTTGCTTGGATAATACGTTATGACTACATAGCCTAGTTAATGAGTGTCACAAATTGGATTAGCAAGAATGAATTAAATGTAATATATTTTGATAATTATCAAGAAAAGTAGTCCCACCTAACTTTGGATGAAAAGTCAAAGAAAATTTTAATTGCGTAGAACTTTTGAAATCTAATTTCAGATGATTTTTTGTTTCTTTTCCAGGACGAATTTTATTCAATTGCGCTCAAAACTTTGATATCTGTATCGACTGTGATTCTTTTGGGCCTCATTGTAGCCTACCACGCTTTAGAAGTACAGGTAATAAAACTCAACTATAATCATGTCCATATAGGTTTAACAATATCGTTGGCAGTCGCATAATTAGTGCCACACAATTAAGGAAAGAAAATTTATTTTGGTCTTTCCTAACATATTTTTCGAATTGTTTTCATTTCATTATTTCATTCCAGAACATTTCCCTTTAGTTTGAAATTATTAGCCACAAACGGTATGTCTCGTTTTAATATAGCCGCTTTAAATTTATGTTGCTCAACTATGAGGAATAGTCATAAAATTACTGAAACGCGAAGTCTATAAACCAACCTAAATTTCATCAAGCAGAGAGTTAAAATTGCATCCCAATTCCAAGCCACAAATGGCGTGCAATATCTTTCCCTTACCTACTCTAGAGTACCCGAGCATTCCTAGACGGAAATTTGTTATTTTTCATAACCTTTTGCTCTTTTATTATTTCGAAAATAGAGTTAACCTAGGTGTTTCGGACATGACAAAACATAAATTATTTTCTTTATGATCTTTTTAAAAGTCGTCTTTACTCCGTTTTTTTTTTTCTTATGGCAGGGTACTCATAAATCTGTCAGAATGCATTTATTATACTAAGTTCATTGGCGTGCCTACATTACATTGTACTTCGAATTGAAAATTAATAGGTGCCCAATTACAATAAGTGATTTATAATTTTCAGCTCTTCATGATTGACAATTGTGCGGATGATTGGCGAATAGCGATGACGTGGCAGCGTATAAGCCAAATATCCATGGAGCTGGTAATCTGTGCAGTGCATCCAATCCCGGGTCATTACCGATTCGTATGGACAACGAAATTAGCCAATAAGCAAAACGGTGGTATTGGGTCAAAGTGCGTACCGTACGATGTGCCCTTATCATTGCCAATGTTCCTTCGACTGTACTTAATTTGCCGTGTGATGTTATTACATAGTAAACTGTTCACGGACGCTTCGTCGCGTAGTATTGGTGCTTTAAACCGAATTAACTTTAACACACGTTTTGTGCTCAAAACATTAATGACTATCTGTCCCGGGACAGTCCTTCTTGTCTTTATGGTGTCGTTGTGGATCATTGCTAGCTGGACTTTACGGCAGTGTGAGAGGTAAGATTTGCTATTAATTTTATATACACTTTGATATTATTATGCGACTAAACACCCACAAAATTTTCGCATGCCCGGACTGAGTAACACTTTTTTGGAAAAGAGTAACGTGATACCCTATTCAAATAGTTTTCTTTTTCTCACCTTCCGCATTAAAATTAAAGCTACTGAATACTCCTGCAACTCATGCTGAATCAATTGTTATCTGGGGTTAAGGTGTTCGTCTGTTTAGGCACTACCATAGCCACTTAAACACAATAAATTGTTGCATGCCATAAAATATAGAAGACTTTTCAATTCAATGAAAGTCAAGCATCTAGGATGACAGATATAATTTTATATAGAAAATGAGTCCTTCCCAACGTTATGGGGTGGGTTCATACTGTACTGTACAAACATTACGAAAAATTTATAATAGTGCCTAGAAACATGAAAATGCCTAAGTTACTCGTCACTTTCGAAACATGATAAACTTTTTGTCGCTGGCAAAAGTTGTTCAATTATTTAAATGAAGTAGGGTAGAGTTTGATCACAACTTCGAAGGAAAAGTGCTCCAATCCCTACTGAAAATAAGTTATTCAGCGCCACCTACTTCTGAAACCGAGCAAGGAAAGCTCTGCCTTTTGATACAGAATGATTATAGAGATAACCAAAAAGCATTATTCGTCTATTGAGAAAAAGATAGTAATATTCCACCAAAAAGCCCTGCAGGAGTACCATCATATATCAGTGAGGAGATCTTCACTCGAATTTGCTCGTAAGCGTGAATTGATTGTTTAGACTAGCTTTGAACGATAAGAGTATCCCCTACTAGTGAACTAGACTGACACGAGTGATTCTTACTGCAATAAATAGTAGTAAGAAGTTAAGTAAGAAGTGAAAGCATTGCTAATAGTACCCTGTGCTAGAAAATTTTGGGTAAAAACATCGTCTTCAGGTTTGTTGGTGAGAGTTAAAATACTGATATCAGTGAGGTTTAGGCACTGTCGCAGCACAAATCAGAAACACGGCAATAATATGACAATCAAATCCCATGGAATAATGGAAAAAGTACAGGAATGAACAATTTAAGAATCTATAAGCATTTAGCAAGTGCGTTATAGGGTAGATGGTAGTTATGGTACTAGTAAACTGGAGGTTCACAAATCAGCTCATGCAATTATGCTTCAATTATTATAATCATTAAGAAACAAATAAGATAAGAGAGAAAATCAGTTGGAGTTATGGGATTAAATCGATAAGCATAATTTCACATTTATTTTGACCATGGTTAGGTTTTGAGCAGAGACAACTGTGACACGTAGTTTCTCATAATTCATAATGTGAACTGTTTTAGTGCATCCCCCCCCCCCGGATCCTGGGGGGGGGGGGCGGGGGGCGCGCCCCCCCCCCTCAGAGCCTCAAAAACTATTTTTTTTTTTTTAATCATTGGTAGAAAAATTTTATAAAAGAATTTTCCAATAAAAGTTCATGGAAAAATTTTCCAATAAAATGGTATAGGAAAATTGTCCAAGCTACACTATTGTTCAATTTATCCTTTTGTTTTTATCAGATAAATGCATAGACGATAAAAATGTCCTATATTTTTATTTGTTATTTGCGGTTTTTTGATATAAGGTAGGTGCATACAATATCGCCATGTTGGCAATATCGCCATGCAGTACTTTTTGCCTCTCTATGACAGATGGCGCCACGAATTATAATTTTATAATAAATTTATAACCTACACTGAATGCCAGTTGCATTATAACCTCAAACTTCAATCTCGTGTTGATTTTACCGGCGAATCGATATTTTCAAGAAGGGTGATCTAAGAGATGTTGATGATTTGTCCAATTCTAACACAAAAAACAACGTGGTAAGTAGTTTTTTCAATTCATTATTTCAGACAGTATGGTTTAAGGTATTTAATTATGATTCTGTTTTTATTTCAAAAGGTTTTTTAAGTTTAGTAAACAAACAAAATTGTGACTAACATCACTGTTGGCAATATCGCCAATTTCATGGTGGAGCAATATCGCCATGGCGATATTGCTAGCAGTGACATTGTAGCTTGCTATTTTATTTAATTTTCTAATTGATTCATTAACTTTTAGCATCAGTAGGTGCGTACTTACATTTATTTTTTATTTCCAGATTAACTATGTCTAAAGAACGAAATCGAGGTCTTAGGGGAAAATGGAGTGAAGATAACATGCAGAATGCTATTGCTTCAGTTGAAAATGGCATGTCCAAAAATTTAGCGAGTAAGATATTCAACGTACCTCGTGGAACGCTGAGAGATTATTTACGAAAAAATGAAACATCAAAATGTGGCTTGGGTCGCAAGCCTGTTCTCACTAAAGAACAAGAACAATAATTGTGTACAAGAATCATTCGATTGGCAGAAGTAGGATATCCGCTAACTTCTAAAGTATTGCATAGATGCGTTTTTAGTTTTTGCGATGCAAAACACATAAGCCACCCGTTTAATGAAGGAAAAAAATTGGCTGGTCGATACTGGCTTAAAGGATTTTTCAGCCGTAATCCTGAAATTAGAAAGCGGAAGGCTCAGAGCATGAACCCTGCCAGGGCGCAAAAACTAAACCGGTTTATAGTGAATGACCACTTTACCAAACTGCGTAATATTCTGTTTAAGCTTGATATTATAGATAAACCTCAGTGTATTTATAATATGGATGAGAAAGGTTGCCGCTTATCGCTTCATCACCAACAAGCTGTTCTTGAAAGAAGGGGGCCAAACGAGTGCATCTTGTAGCAAATGAACATGGGCAAAATGTCACAATAGTCGCTTGTGGGAACGCTATGGGTTCTACAGTCCCTCCGTTAATCTTATTTAAGGGAAAGCGAATGAAACAAGAATGGTCCGATTCTTTACCACCAGGAAGCATAGCGTTAATGACACCTAAGGGGAGCATGGCCATTGAAACCTTCAAGCTATGGCTTCAACATTTTGCAAAGTACAAAGCTCCTGGACCATGTCTTTTAATCTTCGATGGTGCTAGATGTCATTTGGACCATTCAATTGTCACTGTCGCTGAAGAGCTAGGCATCAACTTATACTGCTTACCAAGCAATACAACTCATGAGCTCCAACCAATGGACAAGGCAGTCTTTCGCTCTTTTGAGCACTACTGGGATGATGAAGTTCTCAAATACTGGGCTAATCATAGAGACCGTTCTCTAACAAAACAACGTTTTGGCTTTATTTTTTCCATTGTTTGGGACAAGGCCATGACCCCCGCCAATATTAAATCTGGGTTTTCGGCGACTGGTATCTACCCGTTTAACCCAGATATTTTACCGGTTGAGGCATTTGCACCAAGCAGCGTAACTGAAAATCCAGTAGAGCCACCTGCTCAAAATGAAGATAAGACACCGGCTCCAGGTCCATCGAAACTGACGATTAAGAATAAGTTGTCTAATCCTTCAAAAACGTCCATGTCAGTAGAGCCGCCAGTACAAAATGAAAATGTGTCACCGATTCCAGGTCCATCAAAAACTGCCAAGCTGACAATTACGGCTCCAGGTTCATCCAAACTGACCATTAAGAATAAGTTGTCCAATCCTTCAAAAAAGCCCACAAAACGTCAACTGCAAAAATTTAGTAGCAGTGATGATTCTGAGGCAGAAAGCTTGGAGATGTCTGAGAGTTCATCTGAAAACGAAACTAGTGAAAACCCCGAGAGCACTGACGAGAACGATATTTCATTTACCGATATGCTCACTACACCAGAATTGGCTCACAAATATGATACTCGACGCAGAAATCCCGCAATTAACAGTAGAGCACAAGTTCTTACAAAAGACCTTTTTAAAGAATCTACAGTCGGGGGAAGACTTTGGAGCCAGTAGCCAAAACGTCAAAGAAAAATCCACCAAAGATTCCAAAGGGAAAGATGGAAGAGAAAAAATCGGAAAGTTGGTACTGCAAAGGATGCCAAGAAGACCGAGTCGCGGATATGCGCTTGTGTGTTATATGCAAATGTTATTTGCACGATGAATGCCTGGGGTTGACCAAAGAAGACAAGATAGAAGGATACATTTGCCCTTACTGTTCTTAACTTTTGTATTTTTACTACATGTTATGGCTCTAATAAAGGATATTTAACAAAAGTCAAGTTTTTTTTTTTCTGGAATACCAAAAATTTATTTCAAATTGAAAAATGAATATGGCGATATTGCTAGCCCCTGGGTGACAATATCGCCAATCTGCAAAATTTCTAAAAAAAATCAAAAATCTTTTTTGCTTATTAAGAATGTTGCCAAACGATTTTAGACTATTAGTATATAGCCTAAACAATAAGTTTAGCCTATATTTTTAATAATATAATCCTTGGCTTTTCAAAAAATAAAATAAAAAGCTTAGCATGGCGATATTGTATTCAGTTACCTTATGCAGGGTTGTCCAATTTGGACACTTTTGATAGAAAACGTTAATTTCTGAGCGAGATACAAGAAAATCAACCCCCACTCTGAGGCTTAAATTTTATGATAATGTGAACCGTTTTGTGACTAGGGAATCCAGCGACTTTCTCAGTTTTTTTCTATTTGTTCCCGAATTCGAGATATTAACCAGAGTTCGATTGTTTTGATGGGACACTGGACACCCTATATATTAATTACCAATTGAATAGCTCTGCTTTTGCTGCTTTCAATGATCGATAGGTTTATCTTTTTTGTTCGAGTTTTCCCGAGGGGTTAATCACTCCCCGAAATCGTGTCACAAATTCGTCCGAAATCCCCGAAATCTTTCCGAGATCCTATGGAAATCCCCGAAATCCTTCCGAAATCCATGAAATCTCTCAGAAATCATTCCACATACCCAAAAACCCCTCGCAATTCGCCCAAAATTCGTTTTCGGCCGTTTTTCAGTTTATACTATATACACTTTCGAATATACTTATAAGTAACAGTCTAAAATCAAATTGAAATATTTGTGAAATCACCTGAGATTCTCCGAAATCATCCTTCGAAATCGCCCGAAATCAACCGAAATCCCTCAAAATCGCTCTAAATCCGAAATCGTGTGAATAATCCCTCGAAATCTTTCCTAACTTTGGAATGCCGCCATTTCGGCAGGGTAAATAGTAGCAACTTAAAACTTCGGGGATATAATCTTAATGAAAATAGCTACCAAATGACATATCACTCGAAACCTTTTTTCGTTTGAAATTTTGGGGGTACCTGTTACCCCAATTTAGGGGCTGACAGGTAGGGGGTGAAAATACCAATAAAATGTGTCCCCCAAAAAACAAAAATTGAGGTGTCTGAGTGATTTTTGAATAAACACCTAACACCTGAGAAACTATGGGTGGGAAGTTTTTCGTGCCCCACCCTGTATAGTTTTTTTTATTTAAAAAATAAGACAGATATAAAAAGTACGTCATCGAATTCTGCTTGGAAATGTACCTCCAGAAAGTTTATACATCAGAAATCAATTATTTTCATAAATAAAAAAGTTAGGAAGGTTTCACCTTATCGCTCAAAATCGAGAAACACCCTGTAGCGGCAAAACAGTTGAGGGTATCAAAAGGCGGTTTGCAGTGTTTGCACCAATCAAGATATCATTAAATTTGAGCCTCAACAGACTGGAGAGTTCATTTTTATGTATCTGGCTCAAAAATTGACGTTTCAGATCAAAAGTGTCCAAATTGGACCACCCTGTATCTACAAAATATACATTCTTTAACGTATAAGTAAAGTAAAAATAAATTTTCAAAAAATCATTGTTGATAATTCTTAACCTGCGCCCCCCCTCTGAAGAAAATCCTGGATCCGCCACTGTGTTGTATCGAAGTCAGCGTATTAGAAAGAGTCCTGTAAATCGCTGCCTGCCAACATTTGCCATTCTGGAGGAAGCATACATAAAATGGTGCCTGGGTCCCAATATCTCAATAAGTGAAAATGTTGGTACTTCTTTAATTAGAGACACGTTACGGTGCATATTGTGTAATAGTTTGTCTGAGATAAGTGAAATATAATATCAATTAGAACAAAATAAATTATGCATTACCCTGTAAAGATGTTATTAATATGACCTTTAGTATCAATAGCAGAATGCGGCATGCTCCTGCTCCACATTAAATTTATAACTTGCCATACTTATGCTATTGTTTTATTTTTGACAACAAGGCATTTCTATTCTTGTTAACATTTGCCTTTTTAATTACACCATAACTCGAACTAACTACCTCTTGTTTTATTGCCCAGAGCGTGTGGATACTTTGTAACGTTGTGGAACTAACCGAGCGAATTCGTTTTTAATTAGTAAAGTTTTGTGTTAAATTATTCTCACAAAGGTTATTGTTTACGCTATTTTTAATTATTATTTGTTTGGGGAAATGTATAAGTTTAGCTCGACAACATCGCAAACGCGTTGAGTTGCTAGCAAGAATTGTTCAAAGTAGTGCCAATTTGTCTTCTTTACGGAAAAAACGTCCTGTTCGGTATTGACAAAAGAAGTTGTTTTTATACCAGAGAGACGGAATCGGGTGTTAAAGGGAGTGTGACCCTAAAAAACGACTTAAGCTACTTAAATCAAGAAAAAAAATCTAAGATCTCTCCTGAAAACCGCAGTCCTATATTCAAAATAGTCTCCGAGAAAATTCCTTGTGAGGATAAATTATGCAGGAACTTGTGATGTCACAACCACCGAAATCGCGCAGTCTTCTGTTCGTTCAGTCATCAGTGAATCGAACCCTATACTTTGAGTGGTTGTAATTCGCTCTAGTGAGATAACTGTCTTCTGTTTTGGAAAATTTTACACGTCTTAATACTGTGCTTGATAATTCGATGTGACGTCATAAACGCCTACTAGTTACTTTAGCCGCCCTAACTCGAAAACAGACCATCGTAGCAAGATGCGGTTTAAATAGTTTTTCTTGGATTTTTTCGCAATAAAACTTCCATTTTTGGGTTACACCCCCTTTGATGTTAGCGAGACACAAAACACACATACGGTTATTAAGTACTTTTTCGTTGGATAAACAAATTCACGCTAGTGGTTGTTGCTCTATCCGGTTTAATCCCATAACTTTTCCTTCCCTTATCTAACTCCCCCTTTCTAGAGAGAGAGTGTACCTACAAGGAGAAAGTGACAACGACAGGCCATTCGGCAAGTTTAAATACAGTCCACTAACTTTACTGAGTTACGCGGGAACATCTGTTCCTTACGATTTGTATTATCAAGATAAAAATCATCAGAATCAATATCAAAATACCTATTTTAATTTTATTTATTGTGGGTTTTGTGCGCCAAGCAAGTTCGGTTTGTTGTTTTTTTTATTTATCTCTCCGGTATAAAAAATATAAAAATTCCTTATTGATGGTTTTGATATGGTACCACTGATCTCAAAA